GAAGTTTTGTTTTAAAAGAACAGGCAGCAAAGCATTAGAGGAACCAGGATTAAGAGGAAGAATGATCCACCAGGAGCATGTAGATATACTCAGTTGTTAGTTTGCTCTGCTGTGTCCTTTTTGTGCCTCATCTCTCCAGCTCAAGAGCACAAATAAAACTATGAATGACACAAAGAGAGAGTCCTTATTATTATTATCATTATTTTAAAAGGCATTCCAAACCCAAACATTACCATAAATGCTGAAAGCCTCTCCAACCCCATTACGGGCAGGGGAGGGGAGGACAGCACTCAAAGAACAAAATGTATGAAATTAAAGAGATAAAAGATGAGCAAACTGTGAAAATCAACAAAAGAAGAAACTGGAAAGAGAGAGAGAGAGAGAGTAAGGACTGAATGCCCATGAAAACAGAGTGCGTTATGATGAGAAGTGGAGAGATGAGCTCACTCTGTAAATTTAAAATCCTTGGTGCTGAGAAGTGAATGTCGGACTGGATGCTTTTTTTGGTAACTGTTGACTGGCTCAGATTATGATGATAACACCATAATGATAACATCAGTGATGGGGATGGAGGCAGTAAGTGATGCTGACTGGGGACATTGAAATATATGCCAATGGAGGCAGTTGTTTTGTTTCAATGGCACATGCAGGCTACATTTGCTTCTTCATCCTCCTCCTGAGTCAGTTGTGAAGTGCTTGGAGTGTATATTGTCGGTGCTGGGTAACAAGAGCAAACATTCCTCGGTTATTCTCTTTACACAGCCATGTAAGAGTCAGTTACAAACTGATGGGCGATGGTGGAAGATGAAACCTTTTGTGTGAAACAATCATTTCAGAGCAGAGGAGTCTCAACCTACAGAAGGCCTCCTTAAGTCAAGAAGGAGTGGAATTCTTCCAGCAAATAATGAAAGCAAAATGAAGACAACCGGCTGCTTGGCTAGTGAAACTACTGTAATTCTTGTTCTTTTGTTCTTGAGTAGGCGGATCAGAAAAGGAATGATCCTAGGGGGGAAAACCTATGGAAGGATAACAGTTCTGTTGGAGGTTCAAAAACGGCAATTCGTATTGACACCCACGTTGCAGACAAGACAAAACAAACACACACAACAACACAAAAACCCTGGATATCTTCCCCTAAGGAGCCAACGTTGTGTAGTGGTTTGAGCGTTGGACTAGGAATCTGGAGACCAGAGTTCGAATCCTGACTTGGCCATGGAAACCCATTGAGTGAACCTGGGCAAGTCACATTCTCTCAGTCTCAGAGGATGGCAGTGGAGGAACTTACCAAGAAAACCCCACAATAGGTTTGCCTTAGGGTCACCATAAGTCAGAAACGATTTGAAGACACACAACTTTAACAACAATCTTTCCCTACCTGGCTATTTTGACTGCTTTGTGATTGTCCCAACAAACACCTGTCATTTCAGAAGCTGGATGGCAATCTTTCTGAGGTGCTTTGATTGTATATTCCTGCATGGCAGGAGGTTGGATTTGGTGGCCCTTGAGGTCTCTTCCAATTCTATGCCTCTAAACATGTTGAACTGCTTTTCCTTTTTGTAGTGTAGGAACCTGTCCCTGTTCTTTCCCTTGGTAGTAGGGTTTCAGTTAAAGACGTAATGCCCAAGAACACATCCACTTCATTAACTGAGGAATACCTGTAAAAGATGCAGTCAGCAGGCATCCAGATTGAACAGTGTTCTCCTACAAACCAGACCATGTTCCCTGGCCATCATGTTTCCCTAGGTCATTCTTCTCTCACTCCTTCCTGTCCCTTAAAAAGCCTTAGGCTAAGGGTCTTGCCCAGGGGTCAGC